GAGATGGCGTGATGAAAAATTGTTGGGCTCTTTTCTTAATGAGACGGTTGGGGTACTCTTGAATCGATACCATCGGACTTTCCGTTTGTGTATAAATGTTAACAAAAAATTAGCTAAAAGGAAGAATAATTGCTGCTGTTGCAGAGTGATGAGGTGGATAGACTGCATGTCAAAAGAAATAAAATAGTGGGGATCAACTATTTAGATATTATAGATTAGTGAAATTTGGAATAAGATCAAGTCAATATCACTTTTAGGCGCATATTCAATGAAGAGATGATGAAGCAATGGTATCACTTGGTAGAAATCACTCAATCCATCACTCTTTTTGATGATATTGATTCCCTGGTTTGGCAGCTGGCCGACAAAGGGCAATATTCCAGTAGCTCTCTTTATCATGTACTCCCTCCGTTCCAAAATAGATGACTCAACTTTGTACTAACTTTAGTATAAAGTTGAGTCATCTATTTTGGAACGGAGGGAGTAATTAACTTCACGAGGGTGCAGCCAATCTACTGCCTAAAAATGGTAGCTGCGGAGCACCTCTTTGCTGCATGCATTGGACACAACCCCATTCAATTTTTTCCTTTATGAGCACATGTCAGACGGAGGGACCCACCTCCGATGGAGCTGAGACACCATTTCTTGATGCATGCACCGGGGCCGCCACAATCTCATCCAGTTCTTGCAGAAAGTTACGAATGAAACTGCTCGTCGCTAGAGGGCTTTGAAATTCACCTTCGTAAATAATATCTCTTTCTTTTGGCCTTTCAGACCCCCCACATAGTAACAACTGTTGTCACATTAATCTTGCTACGATAGAATCTCTAGCTCGTGGAATCGGGCGCTAATCGCGTAATCAAGTCACACGCTAATCACAGCCCCGCGAGGCAAATGACCGGGCAATCATATAGACATGCATCCAGACAATTCAGAAACATGCAAGAACACAAATGAGGATGCACGGACATACGCATAGTTAGGTTAGGCAGGTCCGGTTGGAGATGCTCTTCGTAAAAATATTTGAAAGAAAAAGACTTTTTTTTTCTATAGTACAATCTTATTCTGTAGTAAAGTCAAGATCATTTTCGTATTCTAGAAAAAATCAAGATCATTTTCCAGCGTAGTTCTGTTCAAGCAGAACCGCAAAAAGAAAAGAAAAAAACTGTTCAAGCAGAAGTGGAATCATGCCGTGTTATTACCAGACAAAACAACACACATCGCGGCGTCAAATCCATCCACCCAGGTAGCAACAGCACTGCCCGCAGTAGCAGCAGCGGACCACCACAGGTCAGGGAGCGAGCCGTCTCCCCCACGTTGTCCACCCATCCAGACGCGCCACGTCGCCCCCATCACTCGCCCGCGTGCGCTCTTCCCACCAACATCTACTCTACCCCCTCCTACTACACGCGGGCCCGATCAATGCGGCCCCGCGGGTCATCCTCTCGAGTGCGTCTTCGGCGGCCGGTCCCGGCCGTTGGGCGGGGCGCGTGACGGATTTGTTAATTCATTCATTCACTCCCCTCCCGTCTCGCTTTCCTGCCCCTCTCATGGCCAGATGGCGATGGGAACGGGAGAGGGTCTCCACTCCGGAACACCACCCCCCGCCCCCCCTCACGTCTCCGTCCAAACTGCCCACCGGGCCGACGAAGCTCGCCTCGCATCCAGACTCCAGACCTTTCTCTCCTCTCCTCTCTCCCCCACACCCCCTCTCCAGATCCCCGCGGACTGTCAAGCAGCTGAATCTCTCGTCCGGCCCAGGTGCGTGGCCACGAGTCTTCGTTCCTTTTGTCGTGTCGCGGGCTCGGCACAGTGTTCTTCTCCATCATTGGTCAATGGATCCTGATCGAATTTGATACGCATAGTACGATTCCTGCTTATCTCTTCTTCTTGCCAAGTGAGAAGTTGTGTGCGGCTTCAAGCTTCTGTTCCTCTGCTTTCTTGAGCGCGCTGCTTGCTTTCTTGGCGATTCATCACTGTGCCGCCCCTCTGGTTTCTTGATTGGTGATTCAGCGGCTCGCAGCTTGCTTCCAGTGATCCATGCTTCCCGGGGAGAAGTGAAGGTAGCTAGGATCTACGCAACTCTGACAGTTCTTGACTGCTGGCTGCAGGCTGCCGGAGGCCGGGGGAGACCGGGATCCGCCGAGGTGGCGACCGGCATGGGGCTCGATTTGGGAGCCCTCGCTCTCAAGTACACCGGGCTGGCGGTGTCGGACCACGACTCCATCGTCGCCATCAACATCTTCATCGCGCTGCTCTGCGGCTGCATTGTCTTCGGCCACCTGCTCGAGGGGAACCGCTGGGTCAATGAGTCCACCACCGCGCTTGTCCTGGTGAGCCCTCCGACCCCCGCCGCGCGCTCCAGGTGTTCGTCGTTTTGCCTCAGAGGTCAAGGAGTAGGGCAACCCTGAGTCTTTCTCCCTGGCTTGCTGCTCGGTCGCAGGGCCTCATCACCGGTGGTGTCATTCTGATCTGCACCAAAGGGGTGAACTCGCGCATCCTTATCTTCAGCGAGGATATTTTCTTCATCTACTTGCTCCCGCCCATCATTTTTAACGCCGGGTGAGCGCATTGAGTACTTCAACTAGTTATCTTCAGGCATTTTGTTTTGTTTTCTGTGCAAGAAAATGTGTTGACGTGCCTTAGTTTAGTTTTTTTAATCTTTTAAACAATGTGCAGTGCACGATAACTAGTAGTACAAAAAACACATCGAAGTTCGTATATTATGATTTCCTTCAAATGATGCAGGCTATATCTTATCTGGTAGCATGTGTGCGCGTGATAATTAACCAGGGAAATTGTACTAATTTTTTGGATCAGATGAACGATAAGTCAACTATCAACCCACTCCCTTTTGTCCGGAGGTGTTACCCTAACACTACAGCTAAACCACTAATTTTCTCTCTGCTTCCCTCAAAGTTGCAAACCATTTTTTATTCCCCATATTTATGGTTTATAGTTTAGGTTTCTAGGTTGTAGTATAATGGCCCGCTGGCCCTTTACAGTTAGAGTGAGTCAAGTCACATTTGTTCAACTGCCCTTGCTAAATGTGGGTATTCAGCCATTTTGGCTGTTTTTCGTTAACTAGGTATAAGTATAACGCACTTGCTTTCATTTCTTTTGTATCACATGGACACGGTATTTTTATGTGTTTCGTATATCTATGAAGCTGCATAGGTATCTCAGTACTTGCTCAAAAGTTTCACTCCAAGGTCGCAGTATTAGCCTGCAGTTATGTAACTTATGTTTCATAAGATTGAAGTCTTTAGCTCTGACTGTATGATTGTGAATATTTCCACAAACTATCAGGTTTCAAGTAAAGAAAAAGCAATTCTTCCGCAACTTTGCGACAATTATTTTATTTGGTGCTGCTGGAACACTGATATCCTTTGTAATAATCACGTTCGGTAAGTTACTAAATCATTAATTTAATTTTGCCTGTTAATTTTTGTTTCACGTTTGTACTTTCGTTAATGCAGTTCAGCATTACTGGTATGTTTAGTTTGTGTCACAAATTTTTACGTCAAATGAATGAGAGGTTGTACCTCTTAGAATTGGCTTGTCTCGGGAGCCGCTGCTAGTATTTCAAGTCCTTGAGTGGTGGATGCATGGCCACCATCCACAGATTAAAATTTAAATAGTATTCAATTCTTCACAATCTGGGAATGGCTGACATGGTATTGGACTCGAGTCAGAACACAAGGCACTTCTGTAATCTCAAACGGGCTGAAATCTGAACGTCTATGGAAATTAAACCTAAGGCATATGTTAAACAGACCTGATAATTTGCCATACGTTGAATTATTTACCCATCAGGAATTGTTCCTGAAACCTAGTGAAGAATCACAATTTTATGTTCATGAATTTATGGGAGTCATCTTCATACAGGAAATGGTCTAGAACATGGTTTTCTCATTCATTGCATCCCTAAAGCTTCAATAAGTTGCTCAGGTGCTAATAGTTTTTTTCTAATGGACATATCAGGTGCTATGGGATTGTTCAGCAAACTTGATGTTGGTCCACTCGAGCTTGGGGACTATCTTGGTTGGTTACTTTTTACTTTACTTACGTACTTGTGTGAAGCTGCTGTTTAGACTTTGGATGCCACTGGATATCTTCTCTTTCTTTTAGCTGATTTTTTAACCCGTATGTACAGCAATTGGGGCTATCTTCTCAGCAACAGATTCTGTTTGCACCTTACAGGTTTTGCGTTGAACAATCTGCCATTTTTGTGTTATGAAGTGAGAAAGCAGACCATTTAGTTTGTAAATTTGTTGCTTGCAGGTGCTTAACCAGGATGAAGCACCCCTACTGTATAGTCTAGTTTTTGGTGAAGGTGTTGTTAATGATGCTACATCAGTTGTGCTCTTCAATGCAATTCAAAACATTGATATTAATCATTTTGATGTCTTCGTTCTACTACAATTCATCGGAAAATTCCTCTACCTATTCTTCACCAGCACCGTTCTTGGAGTAGCTGTAAGTAATCTTTTACTTACACTGTTGTGACACCACCACTAATAATAGGAATTGCTTTAGGATTTGTGCGATGTAGGTTTTGGGAGACCATAGAAAGAATCATTTCATTTCGCTGAGCATTCTGTCCTGATGATTCATTTGAGCATGCCTTTGTTGACTGACTATTCGCACTCTTGTTTTGGCAGGCTGGGTTGCTTAGTGCATACATTATTAAGAAACTTTGTTTTGCAAGGTCTGTACAGAGCTCTTTTATGTGTTTTTTTTATTCCTTGGAGCAATTTATTTGATCATACTACTTACACTGTGAATTACTTTAGAGACTTGAAAACTATTGTGACATGCTTGTGGTGTTATGCGCAGACACTCAACTGACAGAGAAGTTGCTATCATGATACTCATGGCATACCTTTCGTATATGCTGTCAATGGTGGGTGCCGATGAATATAATAAGTTCAAATTGAACAACTCTTTTAATTTAAAATGTTTGGGAAGAAATCAGTCATCATCTGATATTGGTACTATATTTATTTATGTCCGTTTGTTTGCTGCCTTAGTTCCTCTGTTTAGCAGCTTACAGATCCTTTGTTGTATTTCAGCTGCTGGATCTGAGTGGCATTCTAACCGTGTTCTTCTGTGGAATAGTAATGTCACATTACACTTGGCATAATGTCACAGAAAGCTCAAGGGTTACTACCAAGTATGTATTGAGCTGCTAACTAGCTTTTGCTTGCAGCCATTGTGACTCCTTTGTCCATTTGCAAAAAGTATACCACCTGGCTGACATTCTTTTATTCATGTTGCAGGCATACTTTTGCAACTTTATCATTCATTGCTGAGATTTTTCTTTTTCTCTATGTCGGGATGGATGCATTGGACATTGATAAATGGAAATTAGCTAGTAGCAGGTACCTTTTGCTGTCCATGAATAACTATCTGATTTCAAGAACTGTATAAATCAACATACAAGGCATATAGTAGTAAATAGTAATCTGCAGATTTACATGGTTGCACCAGATATCTGGAGCACTTATGCATCATCCAGCAATTAGCTTTGCTTCCATTCAGACCGATCGGTCTGGCAGTGCAGAACTAATGTATTCTGGTGGACTTACATCTGTTAGAGATGATGTAACTTGATGTCGTTTTTTATTTGGAAAATTGTGCAAAGAAACAGCTCCTTAATGCTTTTATTTGTTGTTATTCGGCAATGTGTGGACACTGCTGAATACGGGGCCACAACATCAGCTGCCTTGGATGTCTTGCCTATACTTTTTTGTAACTCTTCCCGAAACTAATTTAAGCTTTGTTTCCTTAATGCAGTCCTAAGAAACCAATTGCTTTAAGCGCTGTTATATTGGGTTTGGTTATGGTTGGAAGAGCAGCATTCGTATTCCCTTTATCTTTTCTATCGAACTTAAGTAAAAAAGAGTCACATCCAAAGATTTCCTTCAACCAACAGGTTAGTATTTATCATTTTTTTACCGATTTATTCATCTATTTTTGTGCTTCTGTCATTCTGCTCCTTATAGAGGGAGCTAACTTTGCTGGTGTTTTTCTCTAGGTTATCATATGGTGGGCAGGTCTCATGAGAGGAGCAGTTTCAATTGCACTTGCTTATAACAAGGTGATGTTTGACAGTAACAAATATGAACTGAACAGTTAAATCTAATGAATTGATTTGGAACTAGTACATGATGAGCCATCCTTGATATATAGAGGTTCTGATATAGAATTTTATTTTTTGTAAACCTTTGCAGTTTACAACATCTGGTCATACTGCTGTGCGAGTTAATGCTGTCATGATCACCAGCACAATCATTGTTGTTCTGTTCAGCACAATGGTAAGACTACTATCCCTTGCTGCCTTCATCATTATTCAATGACTATCTTATGGCCAGCATGGATGTTTCTTAGTTATTTATCAACAAAATACACACTAAAGTTTATGTTATGCTTTCTTCAGACATTATAATGCTGTTTGTTTCCTTATATAGAAACTTATAAATTGGTTGAGAGGTCAATCGCTAATACAGCTGTCTTATAAAGACTATTTTGCTTCCCTCAAGGAAACAGGAAATGACTTTCCTTTTGATTATATATTTGATCCAGGTTTTCGGCTTGCTGACTAAGCCTCTGATTAATCTCCTCATCCCACCAAGACCTGGCACCGCAGCTGATATCTCAAGCCAGTCATTCCTAGACCCACTTACGGCGAGCTTGTTGGGGTCGGACTTCGATGTAGGCCAGCTCACCCCCCAAACAAACCTTCAGTATCTTCTCACCATGCCAACTCGCTCGGTTCATCGTGTATGGCGCAAGTTCGATGATAAGTTCATGCGCCCAATGTTTGGGGGAAGAGGCTTCGTCCCATTTGTGCCTGGTTCACCCATAGAGAGGAGCGTCCATGGGCCTGGCTTGTTGGGCACTGTGACGGAGGCAGAAGACCGTAGTTAAGTCGAAGCCCAGAAGGTGCAAGTGTATTTCTTGTAAATGCTCAGATATCACTCAGTTTTGCTCTTGGGATTCTTTCGGTGTATTATCGCTATTTGTTGGTGTATATTGTGCAGATAATTTCTACAGGACCATGTACGCTGTGTAGAGTTTTGGGAGCCATTCAAGATGTACAATTAATCTGTAAATTAATCTCGTTCATGTTCAGACAGAACAATCAGATGCTGGATATTAGCATTCATGTATAAAAGGAACTCAGGTGGATAACTACTCCCTTACTTGTATGAGGTAATAGATTTTTTTTACTTTGGATATAGGGTACAGATTACACTAGTAATTGGGGAATAGTAGGAGCTTGGAGAAATCGAGGATAGGCAGGAAGAAAGTCACAGGGAGAGATGCACTCGTCTGAAAAGTTCATGATCAATGTACATTTTTTGGGGGAAATTTTGAATGTTGATTTGGTGAGTGAACAAAAACTGTTTTTGATTTGTACTCCCTCCATTCCGAATTACTTGTCGCAGATAAGGATGTATCTAGATGTATTTTAGTTCTAAATACATCCATTTCTATGACGAGTAATTTGGAACGGAGGGAGTACCTGATAAGTTACCGGTGGAAATTGAGAGAGGATGTACATCCTCAGATGTGGCTCGCCACCAGAGAAGCCGACTCCTATGTGGCACATTGGCCAATGTCATGCCCTAAAGCCGCCTTTAGAGCATCTTCAACAGGCGCATAAAAATTTTACGCCCTAAAATAGTTTTAGCGCGTCACTATAGCATTTTTAGTGTGCCGGACCCAATATTACTTTAGCAGATGCCCAAAAATGTATGCTCAAAAGAACACGCAGTGTAAATTGTGAAGCGCGCGCAATCCGGCGCCTCAAATTTGCAGCTTTTTGATAGCGTTTTTCAGCGTGCGCCCAACCCTTTTTTGCGCGCGCATTGTTTTACAACTTTTGCTGGAGCTGTCCGGCGTCCAAAAAACCTGAATTTTAGCGCGCGGCCCAGTTTTTGGGCGCCTGTTGGAGATGCTCTTAGGCTCTGACCAAAGCCATCGATTCATGGCCGTTGCACCTGGGATCTATACTGATCCACAAACCAACACTAGTCGTACCTGCGCACTTTATCCTCACATCATGCACACCCAGAATCAACTTCCAGCTAGTCACATGGCTTGATGTTCTAACTCTATGGTATACGTAAAACTTCAGCAATAGTGCTTACATAGTCATCAGTGGTGGCGCCGCTACGAGGCGCATGCCAAACTTGCTCTAAACAACCCTCCCACCGGCTACAACTACCCATAGTAGCCGGAAACGGGGAACGGTAGGCCGTCCCTCGATCCCGATTTATTGACCTGGAATCGGATTCGGGAACGAGGTTGGATTCGGTACGATTCGATGAAGATTCAGCGTCCCCGCAGCCTGCTCCTCGATTCAGGTTCCAGAATCCAACAGCCAAAAACTGAGGCATAATTTACTCACGCCGTCGTTTCTTTTTTCAAGGACTCCTCGTTCTTCCTTCAATCCATTAATTGCAAGGGATCCATTAACAGCAAGGAATGTTGACCGTCAGGGAGTCGTCGTTCTTCAGGAACTGCGTTCCTCGATCCATGGTACCGTACCGGGTTCATCGTACCCAAACGGATTGGATCGCGTCCCCGCTATAAAAAATTCGTTCGAAAGATGTATACCCTCGTTGTACCCTATTTTTTTCAGCCACCGACTCTCGTCCCTCGTTCCCGTTCCTCGTTCCCACCGTACCGGAAACATGGCAACTATGCAACTACCCCATCCGTTTGTGAGATATTTTAGCATATAATTGGACAGATGCCCAATGTGATGATGCTACCATTCCTCAATGCGCATCCAACACTTTATGCGGGTTTGATCATTCTCAACAACATCAAGGGTGATATTCTGCCATGCCATCACCAAAGTTATGTCTTCTTCATTGGTGTATTTTGCAACCCAACATATACTCTTCTTCAACGGTGGGAGGCCTAGAATTCATCGATCTCAACGAATCACCCATCATGCTCGTCAAGGTCTCATTGTTGACCAGTGATCCTTCGAAATTGACCATCCCATCACTACATAAATCGACACCATTTGCATTCGGGTGCGGCAAAAATCCCCACAGGAAGGTGGCCCCGATCGTGCCCGCAACCAAGAATCATGGACCCCCGTGGAAAACCGTCTGGGTGCGAGGCGTCCGCGCAGATCAAACGGCGTGGAGGGCTCCAGATAGCCAGCCGCGTGAGGCCAGCACAAAATGGACGGTGTGGAGGGCTCCAGGTAGCCAGTCGTGAAAGGCCGGCGTGAAACGGGCGGCGCGGAGGGCAGTCTCACGTGGTAAGGGCCCCAAGAGACGAGTACTCCAGCATTCTTTATAGGTGTAATTTCCTGTTGCTATTATTTTTGTTTTGTTTCTTGCACATGGGCCAACAGTGCACTTCTATGTCCTGCCTTCTTAGGCTGACATAATGATTTAGCTTCAAAGATGACCAAACAAAACAAGGAAAAATGGAAGAATAAAAAAACAAAGATTCATAATTCTATGTGTGTCTGAAAGAAAATGCATTGTTCTATATTAACTTGATAGAAAAAAGGTAAACTAAAGAGACATGATGTATCATGATTGAATGAACTTGCAAAAACAATGTAAAATTTGCATATACGCGGTACTAAACTTGCACTTTCCATATATGTGAAAGAACAATATGAGGACAACATGATTTCAAGTCGGAAAATTTGAATAAAATTGTGGAAGACTCTATCTAAATATACAAAACAACTAATCTTTTGCAACTAAAAACTCGAACCAACATATATGATGTGAAGCGGTTTATATTCAAAACTCAAGTACTTACTTTTTCTTCTCCAGTACGCACGAGTGTGCATTTAATATATTATAGAAGAGAAAGGGAAGACTCCCTCCATGTCATGAGATTACAGAGTATTTTACATGCTCCGCCCCGCCCACTTCAACACCCTATTTTATATGCAACTACTCATTTATTGTCCACGTTGACATTACCGCGAAGAAAATGTAGAGCTCCATTTTTATGAGTCCTACTTGTCTCCAAACCCCAACTTCACTCTCAATCCGCTGTAGCACTTGCTTCTAAGACCATGTCGCTCCGCAAACACTATGGCATTGTAGTGTTTCCATAGCTTCCACATGCCCAAGAGGTAGATCGCCCGAGTCGTTCTCTGATGTTCTTCCTATTGCTCCAGTTTGATGCACCATGCTCCCAATGTCTCGTCCGTAGAAGGCACTCTCTCCGACTCCCCAAATGCATGGCAGACCCCATTCCAGACTTCTCTCGCAAAGATGTAGCTTAATGTGGTTTATGGTCCCATAGTGTTGATCGTAGAATGGGTATGCAGCCTGATGAAGTAGGCCTCACCTGGCTAGCACCGATTTCTTGAATGCTAACCCACAAAGAAGCAGTATTGTAGGGTGCTTTGGATTTCCACGTGAAGGCGGTCGCGGATGAGACCTTGAGAACCCCAAACTTGGCCGCATACGCAGATCTTGCTGGGAACACACCATCTTTCTCCCACGACTAGGAGATCGAGTCTCGTGTACCTGTGTCCAGGTGTATAGCCGCCACTCTAGGCCAAAGATCCAGAAACTGTTTGTAACGTCTCAGACACGCCCGTCGGTTACTGGTCGTTACTTCTGGTGGGATCTAGACTGGCCTCACAGATCAACACTAGTCTTCCCTGCGCACTTTGTGCTCGTCCGTGCGCACCTGGGACTAACTTCCCAGTAGGTCACCCATCCTAAAATTGCTTCAAGTTGAGCACGCTTAGCTTTGGATTTTTTTTTCTAATGGGCTCCCTAAAAATAAGGAATTCCTTGATAATATGAGTATTATATCATCCCTATTAAGCCAGTTCCTCACATACACCCCCATTTAAAGAAACCGATGTCCTCGTCGGGTCACAAGGACGTTCCCTCTTGAAGCATACGCCTGTGCATCTAGTCCAGCAGATGTGCCATGTGGTGTGTCATGACGGGTCATAAATGTCATACGCAACATGACCGCGCACCTGACCCGCAAACATCGGTGTAACCGCAAGGGTCGTCTTTGATACCAACTTGTAACGCTCCGGACACACCCGTCGGTTACTGGCCGTTACTTTTGGTGGGATCTAGACCGGCCCCACAGATCAACACTAGTCTTTCATGCACATTCTGTCTCCACTTGTGTGTGCATCTGGGACCAACTTTTCAGTCGGTCACCCATCCTGAAAATGCTTCAAGCTGAGCACACTTAACTTTAAAATTCTTTTCGAATGGGCTCCCAAAAAAGAAGGAATTCCTTTATGTTATGAGTAGTCTATTATCCCTATTAAGTCAGACTATCACACTGTTGGAGCGTGTCAGCGGTGAGGTTAGGGCCAAGCTCCCGCCCAAGTGTCATCTCCTAGTGCCGCAGAAACCGTGCACATCGATCTAATTCTTTTAGGAACCTTCTCATAGACCAGCGGTTCTAGCTCTTCAATTTGGAACCCGTCGAGCCACTGATCCTCCTATAACAAGGTGTCGTGGCCGTCTCCCACTGTAGCCCTTGTTGCTACCCGGAATAGTGCCATGGATTCTGCCGGTACAACAATCTCAAACTCACATCAAGGCCTAGAATTGTCAGCTCGCCGTAGCCAAGGCCAGCGCGCTTTGCAGAGCAGTGGTGAGCTAGCGCAGGTTTAGTATCCCAAGTCCATCTGCCCACTTAGGCCTGGAAACCATGTCCCAGGTGACGAGATAGATGCCTCCCCTTGCCCTCCTCCTTGCCGCACTAGAGAAATCATCTACTCCCTCCGTTCGAAATTACTTGTTTCAGAAATGGATGTATCTAGAACTAAAATATGTCTAGATACATCCATTTCCGCGACAAATAATTCCCATTTCCGCGACAAGTAATTCCGAACGGAGGGAGTACATACTTTGATCACCGCCATCATATAGCAAGCATGGCAATGTATTGGG